ATATCTAGATTTCTTTTTCTTCTTTTTACATTTGGATATCCAGTGGTTCCAGTATCATTTGTTGAAAAAACTATCTTTTCTCCATTTTTGGCCTTTGAACCTTTGTCAAGGACATATGAACTATACTTGTATCGTTCTATTTATGGAATTTCTGTTCTATTTCATTGATCTATTTGTTTATTCTTTCATTACTATCATACTCTCTTGATTATTATAATTTTATAGTAATTCTTAAGTTAGGTAAAGTCATCCAACTTTGTTCTTTTCTTTAAATATTATGTTAGCTACTCTAGGCCTTTACAACCAGTTTGTTGATAGTCTCAAAATATCTTGTTTGGATTTTTTTTTAGGGTTACTATGCATCTATAGATAAACTTGGGAAAAACTGAAATCTTGACAATATTTAGTCTTCTTGCTCACAAACATGGATTATCTTTCCATTTATTTAGTTTTTTCATTAAAATTTTATAGTTTTGCTTATATAAAAACTTGAACATATTACATTAAATTTACTTTTGGGATATTTCACTTTGGGGAGGCACTAATGTAAAAGGTATTGTGTTTTTTTTATTTCAAATTCCCATTGTTTATTGATGTTTTATAAGAAAGTGATTGATTTTTGTATATTAACCTTTTATCCTGCAACCTTGCTATAATACTTATTAGTGTTGAATTTTTTGGTTATTATTTCAGATTTTCTACAACCATGTCATTTGCAAACAAAGACAATTTTATTTCTTCCTTCCTAATCTGTATACATTTTATTTCCTTTTCCTGTCTTATTGCATTAGCTAGAACTTCTAATAGGGTGTAGTGGTGAGTGGAATTCTTGCCTTGTTTCTGTCCTTAATGAGAAATCTCCACATTTCTCACCATTAATACTTGTAGAATATTATCTGTAAGTTTTTCTTAAGTGTTCTTTACCAAGTTGAGTAACTTCCTCTATTTCTAGATTTCTGACATATTTGCTTATGAATAGATATTGGAGTTTGTCAAGTGCTTTTTTGGCATCTATTAGTATTCACATATGATTTTTCTTCTTTGGCTTATAGGTATGATGAATTACAATATTTCACTTTTTAACATCAGCTAAGTCTTGCATATCTGCAATAAATTCCACTTGACTGTGGTGTATAATTCTTCTTATACTTTGTTGGTTTCAGTTACATGAAAGAACAACAGAGAGGGAGGGAGGGAGAGAGAGAGAGAGAGAGAGAGAGAGAGAGAAAGTGTTTCCATTGGGGAGTTCACTCCCTAAATGATGATAATGGCCAGGGCTGGGTCACGCCAAAACCAGGAGCCTGAAACTCCATCTGGGTGAAGTGAAGCATCCGAGAGTCAACCCAGTGCTTATATGGGATGCTAGTGTCACAGGTGGCAGCTTAACCTGCTATACAACAATGAGGGCCTCATAATATTTTCATCTGGCTAAGATATTACAGTGATGCTGATCTCATGAAATAAGAAGTGTGCCATCTGTTTCTCTTTCCTTGGAAAAGATTGTAGAGGATTGGCATAATTTCTTCTTTAAATGGATGAGTTCCCTAGGGAAAATTGGCCTTGCTTTCCTTTTTGCAACATTACTGATTTAATGATTTTAATAGCTATAAGTTTGTTAGTCAGCTTTTTACTACTTTAACTAAAATACCTGACTGGTATACCTTCTAGTTAGGGTAGAAGATTCGTTTCAGCTCAAAGTTTTTGGAGATTCACAGTCCAAGCTTAGGTGGCCCATTGGGTTATGCTGTTTGTGAGGCTGGAGGATAGGGAAAGCTGATGATATTTTGAGCCAGAAGAAGAAAGAGACACAGGTGGCACACCCTGTTTTATAACCAACCTTTTCACCAGAAGTACCATCAGAAGGCATATGCCCAATGAGCTAGAGACTTTACACTGGGCCGATTTCCCTGAGGTCATCCTGTGATAACGTCTCTGCCCCAAATCCATTAGCCATTAACGTTAGTCCATTAAGCATTAATGTAAGACTTAGCATTTGAACATCTGCATGAGTTTGGAGAGCCACCCTGTACTCAAACTACAATCAAGCCTATTCAGATCATCTACTTTCCTTTTGGATTGCATTTTGATAGTTATTGTCTTTCAGGAAATTGGTACATTTCAGTAAGTTAGAAACAACCTTAGACTTGCTTATAATACACTTTTATTATCATCTTCTTGTCAATAGAATCAGTAGTGATGGCCTTCCTTTCTTGTGTATGATATTAGTAATTTAGTCTTTCCTCTGGTTTTTGTGTTTAGCTTAGCTAGAGGTTTATCAATTTTGTAGATTTTTTCAAAGAACCAGCTCATGTTTTTGCTGGTTTTCTGTATTGATTTCATTTTTCAGGTTCATATATTTCTGTTTAAATGTTTATTATTTCTCCTCTCCTATTTCCCTTAGGCATATACCTCTCTTCTTTCTCTATTTTCCTAAAGTAGAAGTTTGGATTATTGGTTTCAGACACTTCTTATTTTTAGTTCATGCAAACTGTAAATTTCCCTTTAGGCATTAGTTTTGCTGGATCCCACATATTTTGCTAAGTTATGTTTTTATTTGTATTTAGTTCAAAATATTTTAAAATTTTATTAATACTTTTTCTTGACACACTAATTTAATTATTGAATAAATATAAATGCCTTGGTATTTAGATTTTATTGAACACTCAATTGGGTATTTGTAAGTATCAACTGGAATAAATAAATACACAAAAAACTTGCAGTTATATATTTTTCATCGTAGTGTAACAATTGTTGTAAATTCTATTCTTGCTGACTTTTTCAATGTATAAAATTTCATTATATATATATTACTACAGATAAACAGTTATGCCCCAGTGAATCTAAACTCCTAGATAATGAATTTGAATTTTTTAAAATAGGCATCTAGTGATAAAGAATACTTACAGAATATCTATGGTAAATTTTGTGCAGCTTCGAACAAAGTTTGGGCTTGTTTCCTTTCCATTTCTATAATTATATAGCCGGGTACTGTGCCTAAGTAGGTAGAGCAAAAGTGCTCAAAATACATCATTCAACTTTCCTCAAATAAAGTAGAACTAAATCGTATACTTTTTTTCTAGTACTTGTTATCATTTAATTCAACTGATTAAATGATTCTCCACCTGGCTGTGCTAACACTACAGCCACAGTTTGCTTCAGCTCCCTCTACCAAGTGTGCAGCTCCACATTCCTAGTCCAAGGGCTCCCTGAACTTTCTGGTCCCAGGAAACTTGTAAGTCCTCCCCTGCTTTCCCTTTTCTCCTTTTAATGAACTAAAATTACTTCAGACTTAAACAATTTACTTTATTCTGCTTTCAACAGTATCTACTGATGCTGGTCTGTGTACCTGATATGCCACCTCTTACCTCTTTTTTTTTTTTTTTTTGACAGGCAGAGTGGACAGTGAGAGAGAGAGACAGAGAGAAAGGTCTTCCTTTGCCGTTGGTTCACCCTCCAGTGGCCGCCACGGCCAGCGCGCTACGGCCAGCGCAACACACTGATCCGATGGCAGGAGCCAGGTACTTCTCCTGGTCTCCCATGGGGTGCAGGGCCCTAGCACTTGAGCCATCCTCCACTGCACTCCCGAGCCACAGCAGAGAGCTGGCCTGGAAGAGGGGCAACCGGGACAGAATCCGGTGCCCTGACCGGGACTAGAACCTGGTGTGCCGGCGCCGCAAGGTGGAGGATTAGCCTAGTGAGCCGCGGCGCCGGCCCTTACCTCTCTTGACCTCAGTTATTTGGGTGAAAATAAGGCTTGTTTTAAAAAATTGTGCAAAAGCAGGACATGAGATGTATAAAGATCTCTGCGAGTGAGATCCCAGTGGAAAGAACGGGGCCATCCAAGAAGGAGGTACCTTTCTCTGAAGGGAGGAGAGAACTTTCACTTTGACTATGACCCTGTGTGAATAAGATCGAAGTCGGTGAACTCAAAAAGGCTTCCATAGCCTTGGCAACTCATGACTAGAGCCTAGGGAGATTACTGACGCCATAAACAAGAGTGTCGAATTGTTAAATCAACAACAGGAGTCACTGTGTACTTACTTCTCATGTGGGATCTGTCCTTAATGTGTTGTCCAATGTGAAGTAATGCTATAACTAGTACTGAAACAGTGTTTTACACTCTGTGTTTCTGTGTGGGTGCAAACTGATGAAATCTTTACTTAATATGTACTAAATCGATCTTCTGTATATAAAGAGAATTGAAAATGAATCTTGATATGAATGGAATGGGAGAGGGAGTGGGAGATGGGAGGGGTGTGAGTGGGAGGGAAACTATGGGGGGGGGAAGCCATCGTAATCCATAAGCTGTATTTTGGAAATTTATATTTACTAAATAAAAGTTAAAAAATTATGCAAAAGCAGGACATGAGATGTATAATAAATTTTGTACAGCTTTGAGGGGATGCACCCCTGCTGGTATTTCCTTAGCTCTGTCTTAAGTTTAAGACTGAAATTAAAAAAAGTTCCCTCTTCATTGGAGGCTATAGTATCCTTTAAAGAAACAAATCTTCAGGAGAAAATGATAACCTCCCAGTTATTAGGAAATGCTAACTCATAAATATGTTCCATTACAATGAATGATCTAGCCTTTGAAGAGCTTTTACAATTCCAACAATGAAAATCATTTCTTGGAGGAGAACGAAAATTTTCCCCAGTGTAGTTACAGATCGTTTCTCCTGCAATCTGGTTTTCAGAATCATAATGCAATGAAGAATCTTTCCACTTCCTCTGTTGAAAAAGGAAGGAACTGAAGTCATTAATGGTTTTGATGAAATTAGGAAATTCATACTTTCCTATCCCCGAAGAGACTATGTAAGTGGTTTTAACAGCTTAGAAGTCTCTCTCCGCTTCATTCTGTGTTCATTAAGAAAACACATGATAAATTCCCATATGGAAAGTATGGATTTTCTTTCCTTTAATGACATGAAGTAGTTTCTTGTTTCTCTTTTTCTTCCTTATGGAGTGCACAGGACTAAACCCCAGGTTTATGTCTGTTGCAGAGTGCTGGGGTCCATATCCCTACCCATCAACTGCTATGTGCTCACGTACAAAGGTAATTAGCTCTCAGGCTTCTAGAAATGTTTTCACCTCTTATTCTAGCTTTGCATATAGAGATTTTGTCAAGAGTTTCTGGGTACCTTATCAAACATTTACCTTACATGATGAAGATGGGAAGACCGCAAGCACTAAGAGCAAAGCCCCAGCTGTTGGGAGAGACATTGCCATGATAGGAGCAGCTCAGAGGGGTAAACTGGGAGATGATGTTAGCAAGCTTGGCCAAGAGTTTCTGGAGGTTAGTGTATCACAGGTCTAAAGGTTATACCCATTTTTAGTAAACTGTTTATGATCCCTGTAGAACATTATAGGAAACATTTTTATAAAGTATAATATTTCATTATAAGTCTTAGAGATTTTGAGATAAACATGTATTCCCAGACCTAAAAGAATCAAGGACAATGATTTTCACAAATGTCTTATATATGAAAAATCAATGCTTAAATGAACTTAGTATAGTCACAACATTGCTTTTCCTGCAAATATTTTCCAAAGGAATGGTGACCTTTAGGCCAGTAGTTTACTCTGTGATATATGATTTCAAATAATATCTAATTTCTGCTTTTATGTCCTAGCCATATTTAATTTCTTTGAAGTAGTTTCTTTTCTCCCAATTTATGGAGTCCTAGGTTATTTGTGGAATTTTAGTTCCATTTGTGCTATAGTTTCTTTGAGCACCATTTAGAAAAATTGGATTTCAGAAGCTGCCACATAAATTGATGATATATGGAATTCTTATACAGTTATGCTATTATGTGGAATTTACATATATACCTAAATTCATTTTAAAAATATTTATTTATTTACTTTGAAAATTGGGGTTATAGAAAGGGGAGGGACATAACAGAGAGAGATCTTCCATTTGTTATTTTATTCCCTAGATGGCTGTCGATAGACAGGGCTGGGCCATGCCAAAGCCAGCAGTCAAGAAGCTTCATTGATGGTAGGAAGCCAAATACTTGGGCCTTCTTCCACTGTTTTCCCAAGGCCATTAGCAGTGAACTTGATCAGAAGTGAAGCAGCTGGGACCCTAAGTGGCATCCATAAGGGATGTCTGTCTTGCTATGTCACAATGCCAGTCCCATGAATACCTAAATTCTAAACTTTAGATTTTTTTTGTGTTTTATATGATGTTCTTGTTAAAGCTTGCCTTCCATATTATGTTTTTATTAAATTATCAGTGAATTCTGTTTCATTCCTGAAGAATATATGCTGGAAAATGAACACAAATAAAGCAACCTAGAACAATACCTATCCATAGCTACTGCTAAACGTATACTGCTTGAATGAGTAAATGAAATGAAATATTGAAAATCATAGTAAAAAAAATTGCCAAGTAATTATTGAGAACTCATCATGTTTACTATATGTATTTGAAATATAGTTTTACATTTTTAACAATCACTGTATTTTTATATTTGATGTTTCTCATTATTATATGTAGGATTTCAATGAATGAATATAAATAGTACTTTAACTAGTTTGAAAAAAAATTGTTAGGACTGTCACATGAAAACTGAATTTACCTAGATAATTCATCAGAAAATAATGCTACCTTTTCCCACAGTGCATAGGATGTTAGCGGCCACCAAGGTAGTCTTTTAAGCTTATGTCCTAGCTCAGTTTTTATTCAGCTCAAGTGCTCTTTGATATTGGTCTGAACTGCTATTGAATTGGGACACAAAAAGATGAAAGATTACTTTTTTTTCTGTTAAAATGCGTTTGACAGAAAGCTTTTCTCCATCCATGTATTTATAGCAATTATCTTTGGCTCTTTCTGAGAATGCTACCATTGTGACATCTTTACTCCAATGTAGGTAGCATCGAATACCTAGAAAGAGACTGATGTGCTTAAGATGTGGTGAAGGCCAATTAGTGAACTGTTATCAGGGAAAGAAGCTGTGGATACTAGGCAGGAAAATATCATATGTGTCCTCTTCTATTATCATTCAGCTAATTATCCATGAAATACATGACCATTTCTCTACCATTGAAACTTGAAATTATTTTGAGGCATTTTGGTCTAATACACAATTTCCTCTAGAATGGATTTTTTAGGAAGAAAATTTTGGGGCCCAAATATATTAGTAATTTTTATCTTGGTAACCTGTTTTGTTTGTTTTCCAAAATGATGATATTAATATACAGCACCAGCTGGGCATCATCTCCATGAGCAGTAAAGTAACAATTATTAAAATAACAGAGAAAAAAAAGTGTTTGAAGTTTTGCACCAACTGGCATTTAAAGTTTAATGCATATATTCACAGGACTATGTTCACAAAAACACCCCAAAGTAGTTTCAGGAAATCTACCTGTGTTTAGATGGAAAATATGTCATGTAGGGATAGGCACTGGGACACAGCAGGTTAAGCCATCCCTTGGGATGCCTGCACCACGTGTCAGAATGCCTAGAACAGAGTCCTGCCTCTGCTTCCAGTACAGCTTCCTGCTAATGTTGCTGGAAGGCAGCAGATGATGGCCCAAGTTCTTGGGTTTCTGCTACTTGTATGGGAGACCCAGATGTAGTTCCTGGCTCCTAATTTTGGGTTGGCTCAGGCACTGCTGTTGCAGGTATTTGGGGAGTGAACCTGCAGATGGGAGATTGATCTGTCTCTCTCTTTCTCTTCCCTCTCCATGCTTTCTTTCTTTCCTTTTCTTTTTGTCTTTCCACCTTTAAAACAAATAATACACATACTATATATTTATGCTTATATTTAATGTATTTATGTATACCCATGCTATTCTAGAAAATATTTCAAGATGACTGTAAGATTCTATGACAATAATTCAGAATAGACTTAACATTGCTGGACAGAATATACATTGTATTTCCTTCCAAGTGAAAGGTAATAGGGGCAGCAAAAGCCACATGAAATGTCCTTTAATTCCAGTTTCCATATGGAGCTCAATCAATCTTAAATCTAAGATATAGGCAGAATTGACCTCCAGGAATAAAAATTTACATCTCTTTTGGAAAGAAGTTTGGAAAATACATCACAAGCCACAAAAATGTGCCCACTCTGACCCAGTAATTTCACTTCTGGGAATTCTAAAAAATAATTTATCAAACATAAAAATAATGAATTTTATGCATTACATATTCATCAGTTTTATTCATAATATTAAAACTTGGAAGCAACTTAAATCTCCCTCCAAAAAGGAAACACTGGATAATTAATATTACATCTACTTGTTAGCATAGCAATTTGGCCATTCATGTGTGATTATTCAACACTGAAAAATTAACATAATATTGAGTGAAAATAGATTATAAAACATCAGGTACAATATGATTATAACTGTGTTTAAAAAGAGAAAATATTATGTATTAAAGAAAAAATGAAATAAAATAGGCCAAAATGTTCTGGCTGTAGCATTGAAACGAGGGGGAACCATGGGTACTATGTAATCTTTATTTTTTTCTACTAAAATTTTTCTATGAGCTTTTATTACTTCCAAATGAATTACATGGAGGACTAATTAAGCCTCCAATATCTAAATAATCTCATTGTTATACTATGATGTAATATTAAGTAACAGGAAAAACTGCTGTTGGGAGACTCTCATCTGGTAAATATTCTCTGTGTGTGCTTTGGCCTAAATTAGCCCCAAACAGGGCTGCAGAGGAGCATATGGGGTTCTGCACTGGGAGGACAGCTACGATCAAAGGGAAGGGCAAGTTTATGGGGATGGAAGACAGTGGAAGTTCACAGATTCTGAGAATTTGGAAAGAACTAATGACCTAAAGCTAAAAATCAAAATGGGGCAAGATTCAGTCAATCTTGTGAAAATAATCCCCAAAGAACCCAGAAGATCCTAAATGTGTGGAACCAGGGACTATCAGAGGGGATGTGCAAACCAAAGTCTATCCTAATTCATGCCAAGCTTCCATTCCTGCAAGATGGGAACCTAGTCACTAAAATCTGCCTCTACTTCCCCTTGTAGATAAGAAGTGGAAACTTGCAGAAACAAATTTAAAAGCCCCAGCTAATTGGAATGAAATCACAGTGTTGGCCTGGAGCATGGAGAGTTCTTCTTATTTATTTTTTGTGGACTTCCTATTTTTCCAAAGCCTGTTTTACATATTTTATCAGTGTTAGTTTGTTTAAGCCACATAAAAAACCTATGAAGTAGGTAATACCATTTCCCATTTTGTAGAAGGGACTTGGACTACCAAGAAGTCACTTGTCTTATGTAGGGGCACACAGCTAGTAGTGGAATGAAGATTTGAGCTCAGGTCTTCAAAGACCAGGTATTTTCTATTTTCAGCTCTAGTAGAGCTGAGCATGAAATGGCCCTACCCCAGAGCTTAGGGCCAAAAGATGAATTCTGTATCTCACTGTTCGTGGAAGGCAATTGAGTTATCTTAATCCATTAACCTAGAAGTAATAACATCAAAAGGCTCTGTTCACTCAGCTCCATTCAAGATAATTGGAGTATGTCTAGTTCTGGAGGCAGACCTCACATGATTGGGCTAATGGCATCTGCAGAGGAAATGGTTGCCTCAAGTCTTGTGAAATTTAGCATCTGGTGAGAGATGGGTGGACTCTTGTTACAAGAAGGATATGTTTCCATAGCTCAGCTGTCTAAATTCCATCCAGACAACCCAAGCCAAAACAAGTAAACCACACCAAAACAAGCCAGTTCTTACAGACATCTGGTGGCATTGTTATGTAATGCAGAGTATATGATAAAGCAGTGACGCTCCAATGACTACACTTCTACACCTGCAGTTACATGTATGTAGAAGTAAAACATGCATTAGCTCCATGTACTTGGGAATTGAGTTCCAGATATTCTCTACTTGTTAGTTTGCAGTTTGTCTTCATTACAACTTTTGAGGTCAAGTGCAACCTCCCCGCCTTCCTTTTCCTAAAACTTTATTTTGTAGTCAATTTCTTCATTACTCCAAAGCTGGCACCGCGGCTCACTAGGCTAATCCTCTGCCTTGTGGCGCCGGCACACCGGGTTCTAGTCCCGGTCGGGGCGCCGGATTCTGTCCTGGTTGCCCCTCTTCCAGGCCGGCTCTCTGCTGTGGCCAGGGAGTGCAGTGGAGGATGGCCCAAGTGCTTGGGCCCTGCACCCCATGAGAGACCAGGATAAGTACCTGGCTCCTGCCATCGGATCAGCACGGTGCGCAGGCCTCAGCGTGCCAGCCGCGGCGGCCATTGGAGGGTGAACCAATGGCAAAGGAAGACCTTTCTCTCTGTCTCTCTCTCTCACTGTCCACTCTGCCTGTCAAAAAAAAAAAAATATTGCTGCCATCTTGCAGTATCTGTTACCTCACGGCTCTCACACAAATAACATTTTTTCTAAATCTTCTGTAGGAGTCATTTTAGAAATTCTAACTGCATACACCTGTATTGTTTAATCCCTCAGTTTTTCACTCTTAAGCATAGCCAACCTTTAACATACTTAGTTTACATACTTAGTAATGAGGCTAGCTCATCTTAAAGGGGAAAATTTGAAGTGTTGATAGTTCTCTGAAAGCCAAAAAAAAAAAAAAAATCCAATATAAGTGAATTAGGTCAACTCAGGTCACTTCCTATTACTGAAAGGTAATCACATTTAACAGAACTTCCAGAGAAACAGAACTGAGAAAGCTTCTGTACATCTTAAGACCGTAACAGCTGACATCCTTCACACGTAATAATCACACCTGAAACTGCTCCGGAGCCATGTTCAGATGGAATTGAAATGTGGGGAAGGAAAGGATTTAGAAGTGCAGAAAACCATCATTTTTCTTTGATAAAATCTCAAGATTCTATCCAAAATACTGTGGAGTATCATAACCTTCGTCCACTTCTCTGCCACTCTCACTCTTCCTGATAGTTCTGCCCACTCTCAGAAGTCTCTCTCTTCCCAAGACTGATAAATATGACAGTTGAATGTCCCTACAACATCCCACATCCTATTTAACTATTTCTCAACTCTGCGCAGCTAGATTCATGGATTCTTTTTTTTTTTTAAAGATTATTTGTTTATTTATTTGAAAGGCAGAGTTAAGAGAGGTTGAGGCAGAGAGAGAGAGGTCTTCCATCCTTTGGTTCACTTCCCCAATTGGCCGCAACGGTCGGAGCTGCACCTATCCGAAGCCAGAAGCCAGGAGCCAGGAGCTTCCTCCGCGTCTCTTAGGTGGGTGCAGAGGCCAGAGGACTTGGACCATCTTCTACTGCTTTCCCAGGCCACAGCAGAGAGCTGGATCAGAAGAGGAGTAGCCGGGACTTGAACCAGTGCCCATATAGAATGCTGGCGCTGCAGGTGGAGGATTAATTAACCTGCTGAGCCACAGCACAGGCCCTGATTCATTGATTCTTTGTGTAACCTCATTTCCTGAGTCAACCCTAGCTCAATAGACAATACCCTCATACTATTTTAGTTCTCTACTCTTGCCGTTCTTTGGAATTTAAAAAATAAGTCACTCTCCCAAGACCTAAATGTGAAGATTCAAGCAGAATTGATGCCCTCCCTGTTTCTATCTATCCACGTTGCTGTGAGTCATGGTTTTTATTTCTTACCTTCTCTAGATTTGGTCCATAGGAGCAGGTTTTTCTCTTTCACTTTTCCAGGATCTTTTATAACTCGGTATCAGTTGAGGAAGTTTGGCCTTTAGGATTCATATGGCATTGTGTCAATTACACATCATATTCAGTGGAAGTTTCCCTATCCTCACCAATTCTGCAGTGATACTGGGGGCAATATTGGGGCAACAAACACTTCTGGTGCTTCAATCTTGCTTCCTCTATAGGTTAGTTTATGGGTTGTTTTGCAATACAGTTGTACAACTACTTTTTTATTGCTGACATGAATGACACCTGCACAAAGCAATCATGTGTGGATTAGACTAAGGGCATATTCACTGTTCAGCCAGCTTGAGTGTCGATGGCTGAGGTTCACATTGCCCTCACTCAAGGATGGAGAAGGGATTGGACAGGTACTGGGTTAGAAGATCGTGTGAATGCAATGTCCTACTAACCTAATCAAAGTGTGTAACTGTAGCAAACCCTGGAGTGGGTTTGGACTGTGTACTGTTTATCCTATGAATTGTTTTCAAGGAAAATCTCTCTAGATCCCTGAGTCCAATAATTCCCAGATGCCATCTAGGTTTCATTTGTTTTATGATGGATTGAATTAAACAAACAAGGGAGATTGACACACTTATTGACTATGGGTTTAGCTAAGAAAACTGGTTGTAAGGGGGCAGTGGAATACAAATACAGCTCATTTATTCATGAGTGCATTTATTTAGTCAAGAAGTGTTTACTGACTGCCTTCTTTGGCCCATGCAAAGTATAATATACTTGGAATATACAGTTAATAATAGAATGGATATGGTCATTTCCTCATGGAACTTGCAGTCTGCTGAGAGAAGCTGATGATAAATGAGAAAACTAGTAAACAAATAGACTGTCTGTAATTTCCATGAATAACAAGTATGAGAGGCTCTTTTAAAAAATCACTCTTACGGATGTATAATTATTATATAATAAAATGTACCCAGTTTAACTCTGGTTTGATGAGTTTTGATAGTCACCATTTTAATCAAGACATAGAATATTTTCATAATGATGAAACTTCTCTCAAATTCTTTGCAGGTCATACTCCTCTGCTCATGCCAGAATCCCAGACAGCCACTGACTTTCCTTTTTCATGATTTTAAAATTTTGTATGAATGAAAATCTGCTGTAGTATTCCTTGGTGTCTAGCTTCTCTTACTCAGCATAAATTTATCGATGTTTTTAGCACGTATCAATTATCTATTCCTTTGTCTTGTTGAGTTGTTTTCCATTTTAGGAATATTCTACAATTTGTTTATCTACTGATGAACATTTCGATTATTTCCAGTTTCCACAGATACTATGATCATTTGTATACAAGTTTTTGTGTGGGTGAAAGCTTTCATTTCTCCTAGGTAAATATCTAAGAGTGTGATTATGAAGTCATATGGTTAACATATATTTATCTTTATAAGAAATAGACAAACTTACTCTCTAAAGGGTCCATGCCATTTTGCTCTCCTGCCAGCCATGTGTAAGAGTTCACACAGTTGATCCATATCCTTGCCAGTGCTTGGCAGTATCATTCTTTTCTATTTTAGCCATACTAATAAATGTTTAGGATCTCATTCGCTTTAAATTTGCATTTCTCTGATGACAAAAATGTGAGGTTGTTTCCTTTGCTAGTTGGCCTTTTGTATGTGCTTTGTGAAGTGTATGTTTTGGATATTTATTTAGTTGCTTGCTTCTTTTAAGTTACAAGAGTTCTTTATACAATTTTGAAAAATATCACTTTTTATATTTATGTATTGCACATAGTCTCCCTGCTTCTGGTCTATAACTGTATTTTCATTTTCATTTAAGAAAAAATTTAATTTTGATGGTGCAATTTTTCATTTTTTTAAAGATTTATTTTTATTTACTTGAAAGACAGAGTTACACAGAGAGAGGAGAGGCAGAGAGAGAGAGGGAGAGGGGTATTCATCTGTTGGTTCACTCCCCAATTGGCTGCAACAGCCAGAGCTGCACCAATCTGAAGCCAGGAGCCAGGAGCTTCTTCCAGGTCTCCCACGTGGGTGCAGGGGCCCAAGGACTTGGGCCATCTTCTACTGCTTTCCCAGGCCATAGCAGAGAGCTGGATCGGAAGAGGAGCAGCTGGTACCAGAACCGGTGCCCATATGGGATGTTGGTGCTTCATGCCAGGGCTTTAACCCACTGCGCCATAGCCCGGCCCCAGCAATTTATCATTTTTTATAATTCATACTTTTTGGTACCAAGACATTTGCCTAGTACATGATTACAAAAAGATTTCTTCCCTTGCCTTTATTTTTTAAAAAATTAATTATAAAGTATTTGGTGATTTATTGCACAGAGTGAGAGAGAGAAAGGAGAGAGAGCAAGAGCGAGAGTGAGAGAGAGACTGTCCACTGCTTCACATTCTAATTATCTGCAATGGTTACAATGACTGATGCTAGAACAGGGCCAAAGCCAAGAGCCAGGAAGGAACCTAATGCAGGCATCCCACATGCTGGCAGATGCTCAATTACTTGGGCCATCACCATTGCCTCCCAGGATCTCCACTAGCAGCAAGCTGGAGTCAGGAATTGGAGCTAGGAATCAGCCCTGGGCACTTGGAAGTGGGATTCAGCTGTCTTAACACTTAGGCTGAATGCCTGTCCTTCCCATCTTTTCTAAAAAGAAATTTCATAATTTTAATTTTTGCATTTATTTCTATGATCTATTTGGAATATAGTTTTGTATGTGGAATAAGGTGAAAGTTAACAATCATCTCTGCCCAATATTGCCATCTTGATCACCTTTTTTCTATATGGATATCAAGTTCTAGCATGATTTATAGAAAAAAAAACCCTTTCTTCTTATTGAATTATCTTCACATTTTTGTTAAGAATTGATGGAATGGATTACATCAAACTGAGAAGCTTTTACTCTGCAAAGGAAACACTCAGCAAAGTAGAGTCAACTGACAGAATGGGAGAAAATATTCACAACTGATAGAGGGTTAACATCCAGAATTTTATAAAAAGCTCAGGAAATTCAACAACAACAAAACAAACAATCCAGTGAAGAAATGGTCAAAGGACTTGAATAGGCATTTTTCAAGAGAGGAAATTCAAATGGCCAACAGACACTTGAGAAAATGCTCAGGATCACTAGCCATCAGGGAAATGCAAATCAAAATCATAATGAGGTTTCACTTCACTCTAGTTAGAATGGCTCACATATGGAAATCAACAAATGACAAATTCTGGTGAAGATGTAGGGAAAAAGATATCCTGGTCCACTGTTGGTAGGAATGTAAACTGGTGCATCCAATGTGGAAGACAGTATGGAGATACCTCAGAAATCTGAATATAGACCTACAATATGATATAGACATCCCTCACCTGGGAATTTACCCAAACCAAAAGAAATCAGTATACAAAAGAGTAATCTGTACCCCCATGTTCATTGCAGGACAATTCACAATGGCTAAGATATGGAATCAACTCAGATGTCCATCAACTGTTGACTGGATAAAGAAATTATGGTATATATACACTATGCAGTACTACTCAGCTGTGACCAAAAAAAATGAAATCCTATCTTTTGCAACAAGATGGTCACAACTAGAAACCATTACACTTAGTGAAATAAGCCAGTCCCCAAAAGACGGATAGCATATGTTTTCCCTGATCTGAGGTAACCAAAAGGGTACCTGAAATGTAATATATTGGAGTGAAATAGATATTTTGAGAATCGAAGATTGCTTATAGCCCTTGTCTCTTCCATTGAGGAACAATGTTTTGTTTTCTTTTGCTTCATACTATTTATTGAACTCTTTTACTTAGAGTAGGGTTAACTATACTATCAATAAGTATATTGAAAATAGATCATTGTAAAAATTAAGAATGGAAATGTGAGAAGGAGGGGAAGAAGGGGTGAAGCATGAGTGGAAGGAAGGGTGGGGGAAGTGCCACTATGTTACTAAATATATGTATATGAAATATATGAAACTTGTGTAACAAATTATAAAAAAATTGATGGACTGTGTAAGTGTGTTTATTTCTGATGCATTTTGTTCCATTGAACTCTTTGTCTATTCTTATGCCAATATTACTGTCTTGATCACTGTAGCTTATGATTAATTATAAATGAATAATATATGAACTAATAATTTAATTAGCATAAACTAATAGTTTAGTCACTCTGTAATAGTTTATTATGTAAAATACTGACACTTCAAAAGGTCAAGATGTCAGCAACAAGGCAGACAATCCCTCTCACACAGAATAAATACACACAAGTCAGTTCTCTTCTGAAAACGTCAGAATCCACTTGAAAGACTTTTACATGCCTGGTACCTAAGAAAACAGTCACATAAAAGCACGTGAGAAAGGCAGGGATACTCTCGTAAAGGAAGCCAACCCTGAGCGCAGCACCTTCTTTCTACTCAGAAAGGAAATCTCAGCTCCCGGATTTTCCCCAAGGGGTGAGGGCCATGTTCCAGACACATAGTGCCCAACCTTTATAGTCTTACCAGGAAGACTTGGCTCTTAAATCACCGCACGTGCAGAACAAGGTCAGGACGGAAGAGGATTCCCCGCAAGCACAGAAGAGAGGGCTGGGAGACAGCCTGTAGGATTCTCAGCAGCGTCTCGTGGTCCGGGTTTCTAACAGTTCAATGTTTGGGAGTCAGTGGAGCAAGTGAAGACTACAACTCTTCCAGCCGCGCCAGGAAGATCTCGCTCTCCACATCTTCCTTCCTGGCTCAGCCAGTTGTGATTTCAGCCCTACAACTCTAGCAGAGAGGTTTAGGGCCCCTGCCAGTGACAACAGGAAGGAAGCAGGCCTTCACTTCTTCCCTGGCTGGCGTCTGGAGAAATTTCTGCAATTATTATCTGTGTTATTTCTCACAGCAATAGAAAAAGATAATCCTACATTTTTATGGAATCAGAACTTGAATGACCAAGGCAATAGTGAGAAAAAAGAGCAAAGCTAGAGGCCTACACTCTTTGATTTAAAAATAAAGTACAAATCTGTTGTAATCAAAACAGCATGGAGCTAGCATAAAAAAGGACGTATAAACCAATGCAATGGCACAAAAATATCCCAGAAATGAAGTATTTATGGTTAATTTATTTTCACCAGAGATACCAAGAGCACACAATCATGAAAGGACAATTTCTTCAATAATGGTATTTTAAACTGAATTTGCACATGCAGAAGAATAAAATTGGACCTTTATTTTATACTATATGAAAAATCAACTCAAAAGGTTTTGAATGCAAGTTCTACAACTATAAAGCTACTAGAAAAAATACAAGGGGAAGTCTCTGCTAAGATTGATCTGAGCGATGTGGTATAGCAGGTTAAGCCATGGCTTGCAATGCTAGCCTTCCATATGGGTGCTGGTTCAAGTCCCAGCAGGTCCACTTCCAAACTAGCTCCCTCCTAATGTGCCTGAAAGCAGTAGAAAATGGCCCAAGTGCTTGGGGTCCCACGCCCACATGGGAGACCTAGATGCAGTTCCTGGCTCCTGGCCAAGCCCTGACTTTGCAGCCATTGGTTTCTCTCTCTCTCACTCTCCTCTCCTCTGTCAGTAACACTGCCTTTTAAATAAAAAATAAATCTTTAAAAAAGTATTGGTCTGAGCAATGATTCCTTGGATAGGACTCCAATGCCACAAGCAGCAAAACTGAAAATAGACAAATGGGATTCTATCAAACTGAAAAACTTCTACATAGCCAAGGAAACAATGAACAGAGTGAAAATACAGCCACAGATTGAGAGAAAAGTATTTGAAGACCATATATATGATAATGGGCTAATATACCAAATATGTAAGGAACTCAAACCACTCAACAGCAAGAAAACAATCCAATTAGAAAATTGGCAAAGGATATGAACAGCCATTTCTCAAAAGAAGAGATATGAATGGCCAATAGACAGAAAAAATTGCTCAGAATCTTTAATCATTGAGGAAAGGCAAATTAAAACCACAGAGATCATCTCATATCTATTAGAACAGACACTATTTTTAAAAAGGAATTGTAAGTATGGGTGAGGACGTGAAAATAAGGGAACTCTTGTATACTGCTGGGGTTTGGGAATGTAAGTTCACACAGTGAATATTCTGGAAAACAAAACGAGGTCCTTCAAAATATTAAAAATGAAATTATTATATAATTCAGAAATCCTACTTCTGGGTTTATATACAAAGGAATTAAAATCAGCGTGTGACACGAATACCTGTTCTCCCATGTTCATTTCAGAATTATCCACAATAACTAAATATGGAAGCAACCTGAGTGTCCATATGCAAACAGAGTAGAAAGGTGGTTACCAGAGCCTGGGCTGGGAGGTGAAGGGAGGAGAGAGAGGATGGAGAAAGGGCATAGGTTGATCAAAGTATCCAAAATTTCAAGCAGAGTGAAAGAATAAGTTTTAGTGATCTAGCGCACTGCTTGGTGACCATAGTTTTTAATAACGGACTATATATTTTGAAGTCACTGAAAGAATAGACTTTTTGTATCCTCGCCACAAAACGTCGTTTGGTGAGGATAACAGATATGTTCAGTAGTTTGATTACTCATCATGCAATGTATATGAAGATCAGAATATCATATCAGACCCATAAATACATATACTGTTATTTGTTAATTTAAAATAAATTAATAAAAAATGAAGTAGAGATTAAGCTAAAAACACACTTTAAACTGTATTATTAGCAGTGATGGCTTTATGTTACTTCTTAAACCATGAAATATCTGTAGAACAAGTTTCTTCTTTAGCAACTGTGGCTGTAAATTCATTATTTAAATACTCTTGATGATATGAGTTTCATTGACTGACTTCTTGTCAGGTGAGATTAGCCAGTCTTTGTATCTAATATTTATTATTATAACTGTGGGGAGCAACCCGGACTAGACTAAGTTACTGGAAT